ACCTCGGCACACCCATCCAACTCCTTTGGCAACACAAGCCAGAGCCCCCGAGTGCAAGCACAGTTTGGTGACCGAGAACAAGGTGGACGCACTCAACGCATCCGCAACGCGTGGCAGCATCAAGGGGGCCACCCCGAAACGACGACTGGCAGAACGCCGTGACGCAGCACGCCCCACGGGGCCCATTTGGAGCAGCTCCGGGTGCAGCGAGGCGGAGGGCCACGCGAAGGGGAACGTCGGCGAAGATGGGGATGCTCGGGAGGGAGGGGGGGCGTGGAAGAGGAGGGAGTTGCGGAAGACCGCCCCGCAGCGCCCAGGGGAACCGAGGCCTAGTCTTGACCATAATGAAACGCCAAGCCGCTGGACTCCCCTCTGGGTTCGCGGCGACTTCGCGACGATTGCGCGCCTGGCAGCAAGCACCCAAGGGAGCGAGGTCCCGTTTGGATCTACATATGACGCCATTCCGCTGGACCCCTCTGGGTGGGTCGCACGCAGCATGGCGCACCCCAAGTGAAGATGACCTGAGAGAGCGGGAGACGCGGATAGGAACGATCGAGGAGGAGAGGGAGGAGGATGGAGAAGGAGGAGGAGGAAACCCTACTTAGTCACTCTGCACCCTCGTGGGCTTACCATGCTCGTTCTGTTATCGCTGCCGTTCCGCTGTCCGCAACAACATGCTGCCGCACTAAGCCCACTTCGCCCAAGTCGGTCGTCTCGTGTTTGTCGTGATCAGCATCATCGCGGTGCTGCGATCATCATCTGATCAGAGCCTGTGTGACGTCACAAGGGAGAACGTATGAGGATATGAGGCAATGATGGGCGAAGGTGGGAGGATCGCATACATAGGAGCAGCATATGCTCACTGCAAGGCGAGGGCCTAACACAAGACGCTTGATAACGTATGCCATCTGCGGAATCCCAATTGTTCTGCACTCCCTCGGGGGTCACCAAAGACATTCGATCAACTTACTGGTCCCACTGGAGGCCTGCTATGACCTGCAGCCGCCTTTCTCGCGATTGCAGAGCTACCACAACGAGGCGAAGGGGTCGTCTGTGCTGGAGGCCTTCCATAAGAAAATACAGCGAGAAGAAAGTAAAGCCGTCCTTGAATATTGCCTTCTGGACCTCTTCTCGGGTCCTGGCGGGTCGCGCATAGCACGAAACGACCGTAGCGCGACGACGGCGAATACAGCTGCGGGGGCCACAACGAAAATGAATTCCTTATGCCCTAGATGCCATTGGCGCTGGTAACCTCGAACTTTTATTTTGAGGGCAGATCCATGTACATCCATTGCTTGGTGGGGTTAGTGCCTCGCTCTGCAAGTCCGACTGACAGGCTGCCACGATGGCATGCACGCCCCTTCCCACCCCGAGCACTCGACTCCCTTCATTAAAACCAAACGCTTCGACGGCTGAAAGAGCACATTTGCACCATATGGGTCTCACCAAAACAAACTTAGGCGATTCCCGCCCTCGGCTCCGCCTTACCGCTGAGAGGGAGCACGCGTTCTGAAAGGATCCATTGCTTTTGGAAATCCCCCGCTGCGCATGCCAATTCTCAATGTTTGCATCGTGCGCGCTAGGAAACAGCATTGCACTTCACTCCACAGTGCAGACAATATGTTGTAAGCGTGCGCAGGGACCAGTCGGGGAAAAATGCACAGGGACCGATCGACGGAAAACATACTGAGGACAGATCGGGGAAATACTTCTGGGGGCTGGAGGCCAATCGCCTGAAACACATTGGGAGGCGAGGTGCCGAGAACACATCTGGAGGCTAGGTGGTTGCAAGTGCTGCGCGTTGGAGGCGCGAGTGCCGACACGTGTTTCCAACTCTCGCCCAAGCTGGCCCCATCGCGTGGCCCGCTGCGGAACTCACGGCTGGGCGCGTTTTTTACCTCTGGCCTGGGCACCTTCTCCCTCCGCCGGCTTTCGCCTGCTCTCCGCCGGCGGAGCCACCGTCGCTTGACATCCGCCGCCTTCCGCTGGCCCTCCACCGAGAGCAGAGGTCAGCCTCCCCGCCCCTCGAGAGCGAGGCCGTCTGAGGCGCCCCACGAGTACCCGACTTTCTCGACAAAGCTCAGACACTCAGGACACGTTTTCCGTCGGCGGCGAGGCAGAGGCAGTCCGCAGCAGCGTGGGGCTAGTCTGGGCAACCGAGAGGCGAATTCTATTCACACTCGGAACACACGCGGTTGAGGGACACTTGGTCTACACCAGGTTGGAAGGCATGGCCTGTGGGCGGGGGGGAGGGGCGCTGCGTCGCCTCGGAACGTGTGCCAGAGCATGTCCTGCTCGCAGGGCCTTCGCGGCGGAGGGGGTCCCTCTGCCTCCTCCTTCTGCTCCTTCTCCTCCAAGCGAGGCAGAAAATAGGGTGAGAGAGCGGGAAAAGGTAAAAGACTCACAGACTGCATCAACACACACTTTCGGAAGTACGCGCGGATTTCTTCGGTCGGCGCTGGACCCCCCCCTGGCGGCGCCTCCGGCGCTGACCCTGGCGTGCTTCCCGCGCCAGGGAGGGGGATCCTGCGCAGACCAAAGAAATCCGCGCGGACCTTCGAACGTTTGCGCTTATGTACTCTTTGCTATTCGAAGGAAGACGGTTTGGATGGAGATCGCGTGGGACTACCACCAACAACAAGACCGCTACAACATTGCCACCAACACGGCCTGAAAGAGACAATCCTATCTCATCTCGCAACATCCACTACCATGATGGTCACCCTCATCTCCACCTCCACGGGTGCTATCCAGCACAGCCACCACTGCCAATGGGACGACCACTGCCAGTGGGACGACCGCTGCCAGTGGAACGACCAAAGCACCACACCAGCGCCCAGGCCATGGCAACGACCGCGACCCTGTGATCACCAGTGGGGGCCAACGACGCCACGACCGATCCCGTCCCCTCCTGTGCTTGCTTGCCGCTCTACTTCTGCCTGGGCCTTCCTGCCTGCCGCTCTCCTCCCTCTCCTCGACCACCTGCCCCAACCGTCCCAGGGACTGGGCGGCTGCCTGGGCTCCAGGAGGAGCGCCCAGGGAGGGGGAATGGGAAGGGAGCGTGGGGAAAGAGCAGGGAGGGAGAGGAAGAGGGATGAAGGAAGGAGGGAGGAGCGAGGGAGGAGGGACGGAAGGACGGATGGGGAGGAGGGGGGCGGAAAAGGGGCATCGTCTTACAAGTTCGATGCCCGCGGGGCATTCTGGGCCATGCGGCCCTCAAAACACGGCCCGTGGCAAAACGCAGGTCACGGGGTGGGGGTCAAGAACGCCAAGACCCGTGTCGCGCGAATAGTCACGGAGTCGAGAGCCCGGGGAGGAGATCATGGGCGGGAGGATGATCCAAGGACGAGAAGGACTGGAGAGGATGAGGGGGAGGGCCAGGCGAGCGTGTCCGATGCCTTAGCGTCGATTGGACCCGCGGGAGTAAGGTTCGCAAACGGTCGCAGAACGGAAGGGGGGAGGATGAGGGAGAGACGTAGACAGGAGGACGTGCGCGAATTCTTGGAATCCTTGTCTTCGGATGACTATCGGCGGGTTTGCCGTCCCTTGGCACCTGAGCGTCGGGGAAATAGGATACACTTTTGGATCACAAATCTTTGCGCAGCTTCGACGGGAGACCTATCATCCGTCATGTTGTGATCACAAGGCAAACAGCCGAGAAAACAACATTCATAATGCTATAATATTCAAGAAGCAGACGTGCAAGGACACGGAAAAACGAGGAATTGCCCAGAGGCCCCACGTCATGAGTCGGTTGTGAACTCGTCATCACCATGGTAAGCCCCTTTCGCTACCTCGCCAGGTACCCAGTCGTAGTAGCCCTTCGTGAAGTTGTACAGCGGCGATCTTCTCCGCTTGAGCTCCAGGAAGCTCTCGAGCACGATGGTCACCTCGCCGATGATTGCAACCTTGTGCTGCTTGCCCTGCCTGTCGCAAGCTGCCGACCTCAGGCCAAGATGCTGGTTTGTTTGTTTAGCCGCTTGTGTCGATGCCCATCTCCTCTCCTCCCCCCGCTCTTCCTCTTCCCTCCTCCTTTCTCCCCCTTTCCTCCTCTCGACCTGAGGCCCATATTATACGAAACGTTCAGCTCGAGGTCTCGGTAGCCCAGCAAAGTCTCTGAATTCTTGTTCCAACGGTTCACGACCTTACGCAGAAAATGCTATACACCACCACCGCCAGGACACGGCAATCCTGGGTCCTGGCACGGTGAATACTTCGCCCTCCTGGCCGAGGCAAGGAGGGTGATGATGGCCCTGACCAGGCATGGTAGTATATAGATGACTTCTGCGGATGCCTTCATCAACTCCATCCTGTCCGAGTTGGGATCGAGTTTCCGGAAGTCGTTCAACAGCGCCAAGGCTGCCTGCGGCATCTTGGCGTGTGCGGGAACGCGCGCGCGCAGAGAGGAGGGAGTAGAGTGGGGGCTGCTTGCAGATGACACCCGACAGGGCACAAGTTTCGTCCGAGGACAACTCGTGCTCCCCAAGTTGAATAACACATGACACGTGCTGAACACGAGGAAGAGAGGAGGAGCTGCCTGCGGCGTCTTCACCGTGATCGAGCATCGCACAACGTCCAATATCTTCGCTGCTATCGTGCGGCCCTCGTAGGTCGAGGGCGTGGGCTCGCCCAGGCTGCGCTCCTTCGCCGCCATACGGGCGAACGTTTTTACTGGGCCCGCTCGGTAAGATGCCTCCATGCATAGGTCCGTATGCTGCTCGTTGTACTTGCCCACGATGGACTTCACCTTTCTCTGGAACTCGGAATCCGCGAGCTTGGCGTAATGGCAGAGCCAAAGCTTGTAGACATTTCTCCAGAAGAGGAATCCGGTGGCGAAATCCTCACCATTCGCGATCAAATCCACAAAACAGGACAGAGAATCATCGTCGTCCTTCCCCATCCCGCAGGCAGCGACCATCCGCAAAGCATCAAACGCCTCGGCTGGGTTCAGCTGCTCAAGCCAGGTGACAAATGGATGCACGCCCAACTGTGACGTCCCCTTAGGACTGATCACCTCTACCGCCGCCATGCCGCTCAAGATGTCCCCACCCTTTTCCTCCGTGAAGCTGGCCTCAGGAGCACCCCCCCCCCGACCCGAGCTGATCCATTGCCCACTCGCCAATGATCGGAAACCCGACCGGTCGCCCCGATCGCGATCCAGAGATGGGTTGGACACCTGCGATGATAGGCGGGCAAGTTTGTTGGATAGTAAATGGGTAGATGGAACGATGGCGATGGAGCTGGCCGCATGAGCAGGCCAGATGTGCACTTGAAGAAACAGGGGCCCCTGAAGAAAATGGGTCCTGGACCTTGGCCTTGTCCCTGGACTTTTTGTCCTGAGAGATGTTTCGCCTACGCGCCCGGCACTTCCCTGGGAAACAGATGTGGCTCCCTTTGGGCTCAGGACAGCAGAGCAACTCTGCGCGAGCATATGCGAAGGGTCTTCTCCCACGGGCCTATAGAAATGACGACACGCGCCAGGGGCGGCGCCTGAGGCCTCGCACAGGCGGATCCCGCACCGACCCGGCACTCCGCGCGGACCTCGGCAGTTTCGTTTTTGCATGGCCTGCTTGGCTCTCCTGCCGCAGGGGCCCCCGGCTGGCCGCGCAGAGAGCGGCCCGGCTCCTCCCTGGACGAATAGAGCGACTCGGCACGAAGAGCCCGCCCCGGGGAGAGCCTGCGGCCAGGAACCGTTGGATACGTAGCGCGTCGCGGCAGCGGCCCCGGCGACACGCCATCCTTTGGGAGCGGACGGCGTGTCGCTCCGCTCGGCTCGGAAAAGGCTCAGGGCGTGGACGCCCGGGAGCTTAGCAGCGGACAGCGTGTCGCACAGCAGCGTGGTGGGCCAGAACCAGCGGAGCGACACGCTATCCAAGAGCTCGGCATCGACCCGCTTCAGGTTCCAGAATCACCCTGGAACGCTTCCGGTGTGAAAATTGGAACCTGAAACTTGTGATTTTCCATCTGGGCGCTCTCAGGAGCCTTGTGGGCCGCCTCTCGCGGCTGGGCCCTCTCCCGCCCAGTGTCGGGAGGTGCCAAATGGATTTTCACCCCGGAACCGTTCCAGGGTGAAGATTCATCTGGACCCTCCCCACGCGCAAAACGGCGCTCTCGGGGCTGGGGACCGTCTCCCAGCACAAAACGGCGCTCTCGGATATGTGGGTGATGTACCCGAGCTCCCAAAATCATAATTTTCCAAATCAAATTTCTTATTGGGAGGGCTTTTTCTCGCGGTTGGGCCATCCCGCCCAGTGCCATGAGGTTCCAGATGGGTCTTCACCCCAGAGCCGTTCCAGGGTGAATATCCCTCTGGGGCCCTCCCCCAGCGCAATACGGCGCTCTCATAGATGGGGGGATGTACCTGAGCCCCAAAAATCATAATTTTCCAATAGGAATCTCTGATTGGGAAGCCTTTTTCTCGCGGCTGGGCCCTCTCCCGCCCAATGTCGGGAGGTGTGGATTTTCACCCCGGAACCGTTCCGGGGAGAAAATCAATTTGGTATTCTCCCCCAGCGCAATACGGCGCTCTGGGGGATGAGCTTCGAAAATGATAATTTTCCAACAGGAATCTCTTATTGGAGAACCTTTTTTCTCGAGGCTGGGCCCTCTCCCGCCCAGTGTCGCGGGAGGTGCCACATGGATTTTCACCCCGGAACCGTTCCAAGGTGAAGATCAATTTGGGACCCTCCCCCAGCGCAAAACGGCGCTCTCGGGGCTGGGGAGGTGGTGCGCCCGAGCTCCAAAAATGATCAGTTTCTAAATTAAATCTCTTATTGGTGAGCCTTGTTCTCGCGGCTTGGCCCTCCCCCCCAATGTGGGGAGATCCCAGATGGATTTTCACCCTAGAACCGTTCGTTCCAGCGTGAAAATCCTTGTGGGACCCTCCCCAAACACAAAACGGCGCTCAAGGGGATGGGGGTGTACCCTAGCACCAAACATGGCAATCTCCCACATGAAATTTCTTCTTGGGGAACCTTTTTCTCGCGGCTGGGCCCTCTTCCGCCCAATGTCGCGGGAGGTACCAAATGGATTTTCACCCCGGAACCGTTCCAGGGTGAAAGCCCATCTGGGACCGTCTCCCGGCACAAAATGGCGCTCTCGGACATATGGGTGATGTACCCGAGCCCCAAAAATGATAAGATTACAAATGACATTTCTTATTGGGGAGCCTTGTTCTCGCGGCTGGGCCCTCCCGACCAGTGTCGGGAGGTTCCAGATGGGTTTTCACCCAAGAACCGTTCCAGTGTGAAAATCCATCTGGGACCCTCCCCCAACGCAAAACGGCGCTTTCGGGGATGGGGCGGGTGTACCCGAGCTCCAAAAATAACAATTCTCCAAATGAAATCTGTTATTGAATGGGAAGCCTTGTTCTCGCGGCTGGGCCCTCTCCCGCCCAGTGTCGCGGGAAGTGCCACATGGATTTTCACCTGCTGCTGCTGCTGCTGCTGCTGCTCCCACCTCCCTTCCCAAGAACATCCCGAAACTGTCCTCCTCCTTCCCCTCTTCCTCCTCGCTCCTCCCCCTCCTCCTCGCTCCTCCTCCTCCTCCTCCTCCTCCTCCTCTCCTCCCTCCTCCTCTCCTCCTCCTCTCCTCCTCCTCCTCCTCCTCCTCCTCCTCCTCCTCCTCCTCCTCCCCCCTCCCCCTCCTCCTCCTGCCTTCTCCACCTCCTACCTCCTCTCTACTCCTCCTGTTCCTCCCTCCTCTCCTCCTCCTCCTCCTGCTCCTCCTCCTCCTCCCTCCTCTTCCTCCTCCTCCTCTTCCTCCTCTCCTCCTACTCCCCCTCCTCCTCCTGTCTTCTCCACCTCCTACCTCCTCTCTAATCCTCCTGTTCCTCCTGTTCCTCCTGTTCCTCCTTCTCCTCCTCCTCCTCCTCCGCCTCCTCCTCCTCCTCCCTCCTTTGTTTCCATCATTATCCCTCACCGCCCTTGTGGGTGCCAATCGACTCAACGGAAACTCCTGCCCTCATCCTCCTTATCCCTCCTCCTTCAAGCTCGTCTTCCTCCTCCTCCTCCTACTCCTCCTCATCCTCATCATCCTCCTCATCATTATCCTCATCCTCCTCGCTCCTCCTCCTCGCTCCTCCTCCTCCTCTTCCTCCTCCTCCTCATCCTCCTCATCATCATCACCACCACCACCACCACCATTATCATCGTCATCATCATCAGTAGCAGCACCATCAACATCAACATCATCACCATCATTATCAACATCACCATCATCATCACCAGCACACCACTCATCATCAGCATCATCAGCACCATCAGCACCATCATTATACTCATCATCATCATCATCAACATCATCATCAACAACAGCAACACAATCGGCATCATGAACAGCAGCATCACCACCACTGTCATCATCATCGTCATCACCATCATCATGAGCATCAGCAGCATCATCATTATTATGATGACTGCTCTTTCCCGCGCCAGGCTCAGACGATAATGTATGGCGTGTCAGAGCATCGATTCGAGACCCAGCGCCGATGGCTGATTGCAGAGATTAGCACGGGCAGCCAGGCGCTGGGCAAAGAAATCCAAAGGCTCGGGCATACGACAGCAGTCCCTTGAGGGAGGCGGGGGGGAAGAAGGATGGAACCAAAGAGTTCTACGGAGAGATGCTGTGGTTGCGGCGCTCTCCCGAGAATCAATCACAGAACGCTAAAGCTGACTCGTGATAGCTGCTCTTTCCCGCGCCAGGCTCAGACGATAATGTATGGCGTGTCAGAGCATCGATTCGAGACCCAGCGCCGATGGCCGATTGCAGAGATTAGCACGGGCAGCCAGAAGCTGGGCAAAGAAATCCAGAGGCTCGGGCATACGACAGCAGTCACAGCCCCACTCCTTAGGTGCTCTGGCAGGTGGACTTGGCATTGGCATATGGAAAAGCAAGCTGGCGGCAAATCGAGCGACACAAGCTGATGGGATAGATCTGAGCACTACGCGTCTTGAACTTATCTGCCGCATCGAAGCCTGCTAGCTCCTCGTGGGGCTGATTCGAGCGGGAGCAGACTGTCGCTCCATCGCCGTTCCTACTGGGTTCGCAGCAGCGCACTTTCAACCCGCTAATGTTAATTGTGAGGAAACCAATCATTTTCCGAAAAGGGGCTCCGTATTGACACATGTCGAGGCGATGATAGGTGTGGGACCACTGCTGAGCCACCTTGCGCAAAGCTGGAGCCCGCCACAGGCGACTGGAGTGCGGGTTCTCCGACTTTGATTCCTTTCTTTGCGGCCAAGTGCATCAGCCTCAGAGAGACAGCGAGGAGCCTATTGCACGTGAGCACTCGGTGGCGGTTGGCAGGGGAGAGATATTGCAGGCCCATGATCTCACCAGACCCGTCGCCTCTCAGCGGCGGCGGACCGAAGTTGGCACGGCGGGCACGGCTCCACATGCTGCAGTCCAGGCCGAGCCACAGCACGGCGACGAGGCCCGACTTCAGCAGCCTCACCAGCTCGGCTTCAACTTGCGGCTGGAGTAGGTCGCCATGGGGGCCGTCGCTGATGTCGTAGCCGGGCGCGAAGAACCCGAGGGCCCTGAGAGCGTGGCCGATCCTGAAGCAGCCGCAGAAGAGTTTGATCGCGATGAGGCCGACGGCAGGCGTGCATGGTGCTGGGCTAACGCGCCTCGGAGCGCGGCAGGCAGCTGCGAGACGGCCTGCTGCACCCTTGTCTGCACGTCGGCCGAGGCCGCGCCCTCCATCTGCTGGACCCTCGCGGCGCTCTCGTACCGCAGCAGGCTGGCATCTGACATCCAGCCGCCCCTGGCCTTGACCTCCATCCTGCTGCGGAGGCGGTTGAGGGTGTCCCAGTTTGCGCCGCCGTGGCGGAGCTGGTGCATCGCGTAGTCGAACTGGCCGAGCCCCGCCGCGCTGACCGCCTTGACCCAGCGGTTGCGGGCGGTCGAGTAGCTGAACGGGAAGATCACGGCGCCGGGCGGGGTCCGCGCCCGCAGCAGCAGCAGCAGGTCGCCCAGCCAGGGGGCGTAGGGCGAGTCCAGGAGGAGCGAATGGTCGTACAAGCCCGTCTTGGACCTCTGCGTCGTCTCCTCCGGGAACATGTTCAAGGC